GCCACCAGGTCCGGGACGCGAACCACCGTCAACTATATGGAAGTCCATCGACATAGCCATTACGCTAACTGCTGGCCCCTGGATTTTATTTTTTATTAATTTTTTTTCAGTTTTTGCTACAGGGCATGTGCATGTGTGCGTGCGTGCATGCGTGTGTGTGAGAGAGAGAGAGAGACAGAGACAGAGAGAGAGAGAGAGAGAGAGAGAAGGTGAGAAATCCTTGATGTTGTACTCTCTTCTCCTCCGTTCTCCTCTAGGGATTTTAGACCAATATGCACACATGCCTTACGTGATTTCCAAGCCTCTGGGTCCAAAATACAAACTATGCAGTCGGCCCTGTGAGATCCAGCTGCTGAGCCTCCATGCCACCTGCTGATCCCTGGATTTTTACTTCTTATTTTATTCTTTTACTTTAAAATTTTTTTTCTCGTACATTTATGAGGCTTGTTTTGTTTTGTTTTGTTTGGACAGGATCCACCTCCATCTCCTCAGCTGGAGCTACAGGTGCTCACCCCTGTGCCCAGATGTGTGGAATGTGTGGATGGACTGGGATTCTCACTCGGCTGTGCTACCTGCTGCCTGGCGGCAGTATGCTGAAGGGGAATGCAGATGTGAATTGTACATGGAAGGCCTGATGTTAGTGCCCTATGTGTAACCATACTTTTGGGTACAATATTCTCTATCCATTCAACAAATTTTTATTGAACACTACTATGTGTTTGGGTATGAAATTCTTTATGAAGCTTTCAGGTAATCTCCGGGCGTGAGATGAGCAGGCATGTGTGGCCACTAAGAGCTCTCACAATGAGAGTTATGAAGGCAGAAAAGAAATAGGGCTAATGAGTAAAAATTTCTATATTGGGCACAAAACCCAGAGCTTTGGATTACATTTAATTTGTGTGTTTCATAGTTACAGTGACATTCTATATCAGAAACTTCTAGTGCATTCAGTTATCAGTGGATATAAAGTAGTTATTATGCATTCATTTCAACTGCTGATTTCTTTTCTACGCCATTTTGCTGATGTACCCCTCTCTCCCTATTTTTCTTGCCTACCAACTCTCCCTTCAACTGATCACCTGGATTCTGTTCTCTTAGCAGAGACTTTTGCTGGAAACATCTACCTAGGGCAGCACCGTCTGATAGAAAGATAATGTGGGTTACCTATGTAATTTAAAGTTTAAGTAGTCACCATTAAAGAATACGAAGAAACAAGTGAAAATAATTTCAATAATTCATTTTATTTTACCTATGATATTTCAAATATTTCTTTGGCATGTCATTTCTCAAAGGCAATGAATCAATAAAACATGTATTCACAAAATATTTTATATCTTCCTTCTTCCTTTTGGCACCAAGTCTTGGAAATTTTGTGTATTTTACAAATGAAGTACAGTTTAAACTTACAGTGGGGAACCAGCAGTTAGTGTAATGGCTATGTCGCTGGACTCCCATGTAGTCGACTACGGTTCGCGTCCCGGATCCGGTGGCTTAAAACTCACGCCGGGCGCGTGTGCGTGCGTGCCCAAGATCCCGAGAGGAGAACGGAGGAGAAGGGATTGTGGCGTGACAATCCCCCCTGGAGGGTGATTTCTCGCTTTCTGTCTCTATGTCTCTCTGTGTCTGTCTGGAGAGCCCATGCGCCCTATAGCGAAAATCTCTCAAAAAAAAAAAAAAAGAACCCCCAAAAACAAACTTACAGTGTATCTCAGTTTGGATAAGATGTGTTTCAGGCCTTGTGGCTTGTAGCTTTTGTCCTGGGCAGTGCGGATCTTGAACATCATTTCTAGCCTTCCTACTCCCAATGAATAAATGACAATAAGGTGTCATGCATTAAAATTCCTCCCTTTTCAACAGTCTCTGGCCATTCACTAGCTTTATTTCTTTTGGAGTTTTGCTCCTAGTAAAGTGAATCTGCTTGCTCTGTCTTTAAAATGACTTTCCCTTTTCTGCTTTTCCCAGTTTTCACAAAAAGCCCTCATCTGCCAATCTATCAACCTTACCTGGTTCAGGATCTCAACGCCTTTCCTCAAGAAGTCCTTACTGGATCTTGCTGTCTGATCTTTGTACTGAAGTTGTTATCAGGCTACCAGTGGATATTCACATGTGCATCTGTTATCTCTCACCTAGTCTACATCATTTCTTTTGAGGACATTCATCTTCTCAACTAGAACTTTTTGATTTTTTTTTTTAATAGTCTTTCTTCTCAAGAGGGCAAAATGAATGTTCATAAATTGGCTGACAGATTTTTTTTTTCTTTTTTTAGTGAGAGATTTTTGCTATAAGGCTCATGTGCTCACCAGAGACACAGAGAGATAGAAAGTGAGAAATTACTGCCCAAGGGGGATGACGACACCACAATGCCTTCTCTTTCATTTTTGCTGAATTTTGGGCACACACACACAGCATGAGTTTAAGCTGCCAGGTTCAAGACTCGAACCATAGTCGACTATGTGGGAGTCCAGCAACATAACCATTATGCCATCTGCTGGTCCCAGACCAAGATTTTTTTTTATGGTAATTATTTATCGATGCACATGTATAAATTGAACTGTTGGGCCTTATATATTTGTTCTGTATAATTTCACTGGTTAATTGATTTATTTATCTACCAAATGTTAAATTGAGCATTTATTAGGAGTCAAAGACTGTGCTTTGCAATGGTGATACAGTATTCCCAGTACGTCATAGGCATCTTTCAATGTCAATACATAGTTTTTTTGTGAGTTTGAAACTTATTTTGTTCTGTTATTTATTTATTTATTTATTTATTTTTAGAATTATGGAACTGGAAAGAATACTATAGGCTATCTGGTATTCATACTGTGATTTTTACAAATGTGGAAGCTGAAATTTAGAGAGTTTAAGTGACTTATGTATGGTTGCAGAGCTTACTGGTGGTGGAGGTGGGACTACAAATCTGGTCTCCTTTTTTCCCAGTACTTTATATTTCCTTTACTTTGTTATCATTTGAACAATTATATGAGTTTACAGACTCTGTAATAAGCCTTGGTTTTATGACAAACAGCACTGCTATTACTGTTGCATACTGGGGCCAATTTTCCATCTAAACAATTTCAATTGTCTTAAGCATTTTCCTTCTCCTTGCTGTGGCAGATTTTCCAAAGTGCTGCAGTTTTCACGCACAGATCTTAACTTGTGTATTAGAAGCAGTTAGAAGGAACACAACGTGTTCCCAGAAGCTATTTACAAATTTCATTTTTCTATAGCTTTCTGCTGTCAGGATTCTGATTCACCAATCAATAAAACTTTAGGTGTTCCTGTCACTCCTGTGGACATCTGCCAGGAAATCTGATGCACTTCACTTTCATAGATACATTTCAGTTTAGCTTAGAGCTAGAACTCAGATGATAAAAATCCAATTTCACTTTCCAGAAGTTCCTCAATGGGGTTATATCCTGATAAACTCATAGTAAATTGAAAATATTACAGGTCAAAAATGGTTATTCTGGGGAACCAGCAGTTAGTGTAATGGCTATGTCGCTGGACTCCCATGTAGTCAACCGCGGTTCGCGTCCCAGACCCGGTGGCTTAAAACTCACGCCGGGCACGGGTGCGTGCGTGCCCAAGATCCCGAGAGGAGAATGGAGGAGAAGGGATTGCGGCGTGACCATCCCCTCTGGGGGGTGATTTCTCACTTTCTGTCTCTCTGTCTCTCTCTGTCTGGCGAGCGCACACACCCTATAGCAAAACAAAACAAAACAAAACAAAACAAACAAACAAACAAAAAAAGGTTATAACCTCTCCAAAAAAAAAAAAAAAGGTTATTCTGTAGACAAAGTGGGATGTAAAAACACAAAACTATATCCAAAAAATGCTGGCAACACAGCACACTATAAAGTATTGCTTGTTTTCCCTCACGATCACATGACTGATGGTGAGTTATGGAAAGAGATGATCATATCACATATTGCTAGCCCGGGAAAAGAGAGAAATTCAAAATTCAAAGTATGATTTCTACTAAATACATATAGCTTTTACATTGTAGTAAAGTAAAAAAAAATAGAAGACAAACCATTGTCAGTTGGGGACTGTGATTTTCATCGTAAGTGACAGAGTAAACAGAGTCTGTAATGCTGGCAGATGTAAGCAGTGTATACCATATTCTTTAATTAATATCCGACTCTGTATGTACAATGATGACGCTGACTTTTTTCTATTAATTTTTTTTCCATAGGATACATGTGTTCACCAGAGAGACAGAGTGAGAAATCACTCCCCAGGGGGAATGACCATGCTGCAATTCCTTCTCTTCCATTCTCCTTCTGGGATTTTGGGGATGCATGAACACAAACCCAGTGTGATTTTCAAGTTGCCAGATCCAGGACTTGAACCATGTTTGGCCATGTGGGAATCCAGTGCCTTAACTTCCAAGCCAATTGCTGGCCCTGATGATGACATTTCTTAAACAGAAAATGTATTTGATCTTTTTGGCCATGAGTCTTTTGTGTAAGTATTTTAAGTATTGTGTTTTTTTAAAAATAATTATTTCATTTGACTTGATTTATTTGCTTTCATTTGACCAGAGAGAGACAGAATGAGAGAGAGGGGGGTGGGGCAAGCCGCCAGGTCGGGGACTCGAACCGCTGCTTTTGGCCACGTGGGAGTCTAGCATCCCTAACCACCACATCACTTGCTGGTCTCAAGTATTGTGCTTTTTTTAAAGCTGTCATTGTGATACCATTAGTTGCACAAATGCTATTTATTCAATTATTTAAGGTGACTTATTTTTAAGGTGTAGTCTTTGTATTACTACATCTGAATAACCTTGGCTGCTTATTCTTAGGACTCACTCCTGACCTACTGGATTTGCAATTTTAATAAATCTTTTAGATTATTTTCATGTACATAACATTTTGGGAACTTCTTACTTGAAGGTAGAGAAGAATTTGAGTTTAAAAATATTCTTGTTCCTCAAGATGCACTGATGTTTTCTTTGACAATTGTTTTTCCATGTTAAGAGAAATAAAATCAGTTGTGTGTTTGTTTTGGCAGCACATATACTAAAATTGGAATGATACAGAGAAGATTAGCATGGCCCTCACGAAAGGATGACATGAAAATTCGTGAAATATAATCAGTTGTTCTCTCTTAAGTTGATTAACATGGCCAGATATTTGGAAGATTCTAGCTGACTCATTTGTTCAGTTAAATGGAGGCATTAATTTAGTTTATCTGAATGTCAATCAATTAGCAATCAACTACTGTTTTCTCAATATCTACTTCAACAAGGTTCTGACAAAAACAGCGAATGTATAACCGAGCTGAGTTTCCAGAGCACTTTGTTAAGTCTGCCTCGTGAAGTCTCCCCATGGCGTTTATCATGTTCTGTCACCGTGTGAGGCTCCCTGCTTGCATTGCATTGCCACGATGATGAGGCACCAAATCGTACTCGTTTTCCTGTTCCAGAACCCAGTTCTTACTTTTATATAACTGTCTTTGGGTTGAAAAATAAACAGGTATAACACTGGGATCTGCTTCAGGAAGTAGGATAGAATGATCAAGTAATTAGATTTGACTGTCAGGTGCATTCAGAAGCCAAATAACTCTAGAGAAACATTCAAGAAAGAAAGCATAGGTAGGTTTCAATTTAGTCTTATTATTTTAATTAAATACAGTGAAAACAAACTTACATTTTATATTATACTTTTCCACACATTATTGCATAAGCATTTGGCAATGTTGTTAAAAACTCTATAAGTCGCATGAATATTGTGTAGTATTTTGTTGAATGAATTTACCCGTTTTGCACTATTCCCCTTCAGGCTTTTTTTGTAATGTTTTCTTTCTTTTCTTTCCTCTTGGAGAGAATGCTTCACTGAATGTCATTTTATACAAAGTCCTTCTTGTGTTTTGAATTATATAGGATAAAATCATATTCAAATATGTTTGATGTTACTTAAATGTGAGGTCAAATAACTCTAAAAGGTGACATACACACACACACACACACACACACACACACACACATACATAGGCATATCTCATATGAACACAAAAATACAAATATTTTTATATTTCTTAAATAAATTTGCTTGGCATTTAGAGATTTCCCATAGATATTTCCCATTCTAAATTGCAGCTGGATTCTCAGGCTGCTTTCTGAATTTTATTTTATTCCTAGAACTGGCTGAAATATCACTTATAGTCTCAAATCCCAGTTCCCTCTAAGATAATGTCATACTGAACCTTGAACCTGGTTGCAGAGTCCAAGTTGAATTCAGAGGCCTCACAATCTCGGTCATATAAGACCTAAATGTCTTTGGATCTTTACTACCTCTGAGCACCAACAGAGGAAAAGGGGAGAAGACGTTGTTAGTGGGAGGCTTCCAAGTGTCCAGTCCCGTGGCAGCATTTGGAGAGAAACTGGTAGGAGCGTATGTGTGAGGTGTGTCTAGTGGCAGATGGAAGAATGGTAATGTCTACAAAGAGGCCACTCAAGCTGGTGACCACATACCCTCTGAATATTACCCCAATTCATTTGGGTTTTGCCTTGTAATGAGATGTTACTGAAAGTATTTTCTTGTTCTAATATTTAGGTATGGTCCATACATAGGACTGAAATGAAATGGAAAAGGAAATTATGCACCGTGCCGATTCTAGTAATGCTCGTTCCACATTCGTTTGTTCCTTTGTGTGGTTTCAGTGCATCCTTCCTCCAGCTTCTGTGAACTTTTGCTTCTGACACTTGCACCTGCCCCTGTCTTTAGAGGATGACCTCAGTGCCACATGACCTACTTTGTCTCAGGCACTGGAAGCTTGGTGTGCTTGTGAGTTCTTCCCCAGCCATGGGGCGGCTGCTTGCTGATGACTGACTGGTGCCAGGGTATGAAAGCTTGGCACTCTTGTCTTGAGAAAAAACTGTGAAGTGCAATGTACATTTCAGAATTCCCTCTCAGTGTCAGGCAGAATCTTCCCTGTGAGACTTAGTCAAGTCCATGTAGCTTGGTCCCTCTACCCTTGACAGCTTCTCCTACTCCCTTGCCACTGTCTGCTGTGAGCGTGTCCTCAGCGACTTATTCACATGTAATCCTTGTTCTGTTCCAGGGTCTGCTGTGAGGGGATCAGACCTAAGAAACACTGGTGTCAAGTGAGGGCAGGTTTTTCTTCTCTCTCCTATGCTTTTAATTTCTATAAACATCATCACATAGTTAGAATCATATCATACACATAGACAATTCACTTTCATCTCACTTAGTATAATTTCAACCATTTCATTAATGACTGGCTACATGATCTTCCACTGTGGTGTAAGTTTAATAAACATTTTTGCGTTGGTGAATATTTATGTTGTTGCTATAATTTGATAAGTAATTACATGATTAATAACTCAATCTTTATTTTATTATCCTAGGATACATACCGTCACAAAGTATATACAAACATATTTCCTTATTTATTTAAAATGAACAAAATTGTATGTATTTAGCATGTACGACATGGTATTTTATAATATGTATTCTTTGTGAAATGGCTAAGTCAAACTAATTTAACAAATGCATTACCACAAATACATTTTTTTTTTATAATGGCGTTTACTCTCTTAGCAGTTTTCAAGAATAAAACAATATTACTATTGGGGTCAGCGGGTGATATAGTGGTGAAGGTATTGGACTTCCACATGGCTGACCATGTTTCGAGTCCTGGATCTGGTGGCTTGAAAAATCACACCTGAAGTGTGAGTGCCCAAAATCCCAGGAAAAGAATGGAGGAGAAGGAATTAAAGGGTGGCCATCTCCTCTGGGGAGTGATTTGTCATTTTCTCTTTCTCTGTCTCTCTGGCAAAAACATATGCCCTATGACAAAACCTTAAAATATTATTACCTATAGTTCCCTTTTGTGAAATTGATCTCTTGAACTTACTCTTCCTAACTCAAATTTTGTATCCTTTGACCAACATTTCCCAATACCTCCGACTACCCCACCTCCTAGGAACCACCTTTCTATTCTCTGTTTCTATGAGTTTAACTTGTTTAGGTTACATACAAGTGAGATAATTCATTATGTGTCTATCTGTGTCTGGCTTATTTCATTTAACATAATGACCTGCAGGTTCATCCATGCTGTCACAAACAGCAGAATTTTCTTCTTTTTAAAGATTCACTAGTATTCACTGTGTTTATATGCCACATTTTCTTTAGTATTCATTCTTGGTGGACACCTAGGCCAAATCTATATTTTGGCTACTGTAAATAATGCTACAGTGAACAGGGTAATGAAGATATCTTTGACATACTGATTTTATTTCTTTAGGACTGCTGGATTGTATGATAGTTCTATTTTTAATTTCTTGAGGAATCTCCACACAAGACTGCACTCATTTATATTTCCACCAGAGGGATAATAGGATCCTCTTTCTTCCACATTTCCTCCAACATTTATTTATTTATTTATTTATTTATTTATGAGAATTTTTTAATAGGGTGTGTGAGAAATTATCCCCTTGGAGGATGGCCATGCTGCAACCGGTTCTTCTCCTCCATTCTCCTGTTGGGATTTTGGGCACACATGCATATGCACTTGGCATGAGTTTTAAGCCACTGGGTCCAGGACTCAAACCATGGTCAACTATGAGGGAGTCCAGTGACATAACCATTACACTACCAGAATAACTATTCTTTTTTTTCTTTTTTTTGGAGTGGTTTTTGCTATAGGGTGTGTGCTCTCATCAGACAAAAAGAGAGAGATAGAGAGATAGAAAGGAAGAAATCACCCCCCAGGGGAGATGGCCACACCACAATCCCTTCTCCTTCGTACTCCTCTCGGGATCTTGGGCACGCATGCACACGCGCCCGGTGTGAGTTTAAGCCACTGGGTCCGGGACTCAAACCGCGATTGACTACGTGGGAATCCAGTGACATAGCCATTATGCTAACTGCTGGTCCCACTATCAGAATAACTATTCTAAGAGGTGTGAAGTTATATTTCATTGTGATTTTAATTTGCACTTCTTTTGATTATTAGTATTTTTCATATGCCTGTTGACAATTTATCTCCTTTTAAGAAATTTCTGCTCAGAGTTTTTGTTCTTTTAAAAATTTATTTTATTATTATTTTTTTAAAAATTTAGGTTTTCACCATGTGAGTTTTCCAGGGAGAGATACAGAAAGGGAAGTGAGAAGTCATCCCCTAGGTGTATGGCCATGTGAAATCCCTTTTCCTCCATTCTCCTCTGGGATTTTGGGCACACATAAACATGTGCCTAGAGTGATTTTTACGTCACCAGGTCTGGGACTTGATCCATGGCTGACCAGAGCCTTAACCACCATGCCACCTGCAGGCCTTGCTTTGTTCATTTTTAAATTAAGTTATTTGTTTTCTTACTATTGAGTTGTTTGAGTTCCTTATAAGTTTTGGATATTATCCTTGTATTAGTGATGTATGAGTTGCAAATATTTTCTCCCAACATATTAATATTTTTATAACTTGTGCTTTGGACAAAAGTAGACAAAAAAGCACTATTAATGAGTGGGTACACTTATTGTATCACCACCTTAAAAATATTTAAAGAGAAGATTTCAAGTGCTGTGTTAACTTCTTAGGTATTACATGGTAATAATAATGGTAGCAATAATCATTTGAGAACAATTCACTGTGCATTTACCTTGTATTAGGTACTGTATTAGGTGCTCACCAAGATTACTTAATCCTTCAAATGATCACGTAAGTTAACCTTTGTTGCAGGATGGCTATCCAAGTACTTGGTGTTTTGGACACATAGTTCAATGAAACATGCCAATAGTGAAAGTAAAGGATAGTTTATTATGTAAAAGTGAAAGCACATTCCCGAGAGGTAGGAGCAGGCCCTAGCATGATAAAGAGTGGTTTAGGACCCAATAATTGCCTTCAGTGGGGTTTATAGTTCTCCAGTCAAGGTTGGGTCGGTTGATCATTGGCTGGCCCACTGATTCATCTTACTAGCTATATCAAGTGTGGCTGGGCCTATTAATTTAACTTATTACCTATACTGAGTGTGGCTGGGCCCACCAATTTATCTCATTGGCTATCAACTAAACATCCCTTACTGAAAATCTCCCACCTACATTATCCCAAGCAGAGAATTTTCTGCCCTGATCCTTTTTTCTA